CTAGACCAGGCTCCAGCAGACTTTGCGAAGACACATCACAGTTCCTGTGCAGTACAGAGAGTCTGCATGGCTTGATCTGCTGTATTCAGAAACGCGGGAGTCACCTCTGGAAAAATTTCCCTGTCTTTGTACGATCTCTGTTTTGGTTACCTCCATAAAGCTGCATAGTCTGGCCGACGAGTTTGCAAAACCAAAAGGGAAACGTTGAAGCTACGTCGGTCAACTTCCCAGAGCTTGAACTACGACTCCCATCCACAGAAAGAACACCAAAATCCGCGCGGGTCAACTGGCGAGCCCGCTGCACTGCCAGGACGAAGCCCACGTTATGGGGCTGTCGGGCGACCCCATTTCCAGGCCCGCAAAACACAAGCAATTCTGGCTTCGCCAGGTCGGCCCTCCACAGTTGCATTCCCCTGGCTGCAGCAGCAGCAGCAGCAACAAGGGCAAGCACACAGCTGCTTTGGACAAGCCCCGACCTTCCAAACGGTCCTCCACCAGACGTTCCCCAAACTTACCTCATGACATGCGCAGCCGACGAGATTCAGCCGCTGTGGGTGCAGGGATCAAACTTGCGACCCCAAAATGGGGCCGTCTCGCGGCCCCAGAAAAGGAGCCGCGAAATGCAGCCAACCTCCTCTAATATATTTGACTGGGAACTATAGAGGACCCAAAATTGGGGCCGCGTGGCGGCCCCCATTTTGGGGTCGCGAATTCCTTCATTCTGGGGCCCAAGCCCAAGCCCAAGCCCAAGCCCCTGCATTCCAGACTGCTACACACCGAGGCGACCCGCTCACGGCAGGCATCCATTGTGAAAAAGACTCTCCAAGAACCAGAAATTTCCACAGACACGTGCTTGTGGAAGTGCTTAACATGAGAGAAGCGCGCACAGAGGGGGGCCACTCAAGCGAAGCTAAAATTGCTCAGACTATTCGACCCCGCATTTGGAGCCGCCTGCGCTGACCACTTTCACAAAGGCCTTCGAGGCTTCACTTGCGGGCGCTTGAGGCCTGCTGAGGCCATAGAGGTGGATTTTTGACAGCAACATGCACCTCGAGTCTGCAAGTTCCAAAAGAGACAAGCAACCATGAAGCAATCCCAAACTCCGATTACATGATGGAACTGACTTAAAGAGCAACAGATTTGACGGAGATGAAGATGCAACCCCGTTTTGCAATGGGGGGGTCCCGCAGTTAAGTGCATTTCTCCAAATCCGTAGCATCCGCCGACCTTCTCGATACAGAGGGGGAACCACCATGTGTCCCCAGAAACTACGCATTGGGAGGGTAGCTGGAACAAGACCAGATTTTAAGCCACTGACCTCCGAACGGACAAGAACCTGACCATCAGAAACGGTTGTACTGCTGTGACACCGGCACGCCGACAAGGCCACCGCGGCCCATCCCCCTCCCCCAAATCTCAATGTTTGGAGCAGCACGGCCACAAAGCCCTGCGCAAGCAGACGACACGCACCTCCGAGCAGACGACATCATTGAAATGGAGGGGGGGGGGGGGGGGTCCGTACATGCAACACAACAGTCTATGACGTCGCGTCTGTGAACCCTGCCAACCCCTCCCGTCTGGAGGAAGCTCTCGCATCCCCAGCAAGCCTACTGTCCGACTGGAGCGGAGTTGGAAACTCATCTTGTCACTCACACGGAGCAGAAGGGGCTGCGAGCATCGCGACGTCATGGCCTAACAGATTCCTCTGGCAGAAAGTGTCCGGAACCTCGTTTTTCCATATGGCCTAATGGATTCCCTCTGGCAGAAAGTGTCCGGAACCTCGTTTTTCCATATGGCCTAATGGATTCCCTCTGGCAGAAAGTGTCCGGACCCTCGTTTTTCCATATGGCCCAATGGGTTCCTGTGGCAGAAAGTGTCCGGAACCTCGTTTTTTCATATGGCCTAATGGATTCCTTATGACCTATCCTATGGCCTAACCTATGGCCTAATACACCTTCCCTATGACCTAATCATTTCCGTGTGGAAAAAGAAAAGATTGTATTCCTAAAACGCGAAAATGATTAGGTCATAGGGAAGGTGTATTAGGCCATAGGTTAGGCCATAGGATAGGTCATAAGGAATCCATTAGGCCATATAAAAAAACGAGGTTCCAGGCACTTTCTGCCACAGGAATCAATTAGGCCATATGGAAAAACGAGGTTCCTGACACTTTCTGCCAGAGGGAATCCATTAGGCCATATGGAAAAACGAAGTTCCGGACACTTTCTGCCATAGGGAATCCATTAGGCCATAAGGAAAAACAAGGTTCGGGACACTTTCTGCCGGAGGGAACCCATTAGGCCATATGGAAAAACGAGGTTCCTGATTTTTTCTGCCACAGGGAATCGATTAGGCAATATAAGGAACAACGAGGTTCCGGACACTTTCTGCCAGAGAGAATCCATTAGGCCAGAAAGTTCCGGACAGGTCCTGCTACGCAGAGGACATCCAGTAGGCAGATAGAGAAACGACACTCCAGGCTCCTTCGGCCTGGGAATCCATAGTCCATCAGCAAACCCAAGCAGGCAGCCTTTAAAGGCGTTTTGAAAGACAGAAAGAAGATGAATATGGCTGGTGGCCTCCTTTTTGGCAGCATTCAAAGCTTTTCGTTCCTGCTTATGAGTCGCCCCACGCGATCCACCAAGGAGTTCTCCATATGATCAGAGGAGGGCGAAAGCACAACAACGTCGAGCCACGAACAGAAAGAAGATGAACATGGCCCATCCGCAAGGACACAATGCTAGAACTCCAGAAGACTACTGTGGCGATGGTTTGGAAACCTAGACCAGGCTCCAGCAGACTTTGCGAAGACACAGCACAGTTCCTGTGCAGTACAGAGAGTCTGCATGGCTTGATCTGCTGTATTCAGAAACGCTGGAGTCACCTCTGGAAAAATTTCCCTCTCTTTGTACGATCTCTGTTTTGGTTACCTCCATAAAGCTGCATAGTCTGGCCGACGAGTTTGCAAAACCAAAAGGGAAACGTTGAAGCCACGTCGGTCAACTTCCCAGAGCTTGAACTACGACTCCCATCCACAGTAAGAACACCAAAAATCCGCGCGGGTCAACTGGCGAGCCCGCTGCACTGCCAGGACGAAGCCCACGTTATGGGGCTGTCGGGCGACCCCATTTCCAGGCCCGCAAAACACAAGCAATTCTGGCTTCGCCAGGTCGGCCCTCCACAGTATCTGAATTTAGTCGGACGAACCGAGTTTGACAAACAAGGTCCTATATCAACCCCTTGACCGCTAGCTTAATTTACTTCGGTTGTCATTCCGATTGAGCCAGAAACGGCAGCGCAAAAGCAAAGTATTTATCCATTTATTTGCAAATCGCCACTGATATATTGCATAAATTCAATCACCCTTAGCAATCGCAGAGCTTCGTTTTCACTGGTGACGTTGGGCAGTACGCGATCCTCGGATGATGTGCCCAGCTTGCATACCGCATGCTGAGGCACTAAGTTCGGCCGCTCCCTGGAGCTCTAGATGAGACAAGGGGCTAGATATACGGCTGACAAAAGCAGCTCCACTAGAAACCTGCCCATCGAGTTTCTTGCACGGCCGGATACGCAAACGTTCAGCCTCGAATATGATCGTCTTTTGGCAGCACGACTACCTAGCTTTGCCAGCTGTCGATTCAACTCGTTCGAAAAAAGAAGTGCAGCATGTTGCCTTCATATTGTGAAGGATTTCCCCTACACCATTCTTGGCACCCAGCACGTCCTGTCCAAGATGTGTTTCACGTCCAACTCTTTGAGATGGAGCTTGCTGGAGCGGCAAAAACTTGGCCGTCGAAAAGTATTTATCAATTCATTAGATTTAGAAGGTTGCCCGGTGCTAGCTGCGCTTCGCTCCAGTTTTCTGAAAGCTTGTCTTACTTCAGGTTCTGAGAAGCGTGGACGCTGCCAAGACCTGTTTTTTCTTGCCTAAGTTGCACAGAGTTGCTGCACCGCCGCCGCAGAGTGTACCTCCGAAAAACATGTTTCGCCCAGGCATTCAAAATGCAGAGTTAATGCTTTGGAATGACCCAACCGAATCCGAGACGAACCATGTTCTTCATGTGGCTTCTTTATCTCGGACGTTGTTTGCTTGCATTCCATTTTAGATCAAGTTGCGGCGAAGTCGCTTCGCAATTTTGATTTTGGGCTCTCTAGAGTCTTGGTAGGTGCTCTAACAGGTCCCGGGGGCTAATTCCAAGGCTTCTAGCTTCTCGCGGCCTGGGTAGTGCGATCCCCTGCAGAGGAGGTGCATGGCAGGCACCTCTTGCCTCTCTTGAGTGAGCCGTCATTCTTGCATGGTGTCCAGAGCAGAACTTGAAGAGTTCCGTCAGTACTTTGAGTGCTCACTTCTCACGCCAGGAAGGACGTGGATAGTGCTAGGACTGCTAGGACTGACTTCATTGACGCATTGCAATCCTTCCGGGACGACACTCTCGAGGCTCTGACAGCTCTGCACGAGCGCACCAACACCTTGCTTGAGAATCAGTATAGGCTTCAAGCCCAGTTTGTGATTTTGCAACAGCGGATCACTTTGCTTGAGGGTAAACCGGATTGCACAGACGGGCCGAGCTGCACAGACGCGTCGAGTTCTTGATTCCTTGGATTAGACTGTTTTGCTTGGCGACATGTCCTCCAGGCCCACTGCCCCTGATGACAGATCTCGCTCGGGCAGGTCGCGTTGCGGCCCATATGCTGCTCCTGTGCTGCCTGCTAGGCCTAGTCCCCCTCCCTCCTTCGGTTTAGGACCGCACCGCCTCCCCGAACCCGGCTTCCTTGCCCGCCTGTGAAGCGGCATGTGCATTTGAGGCCCCCGGCACTGCCGGCCTTTCCCGCCGTTTCAAGCCTCGCCTGAGTTTCAGGCTGCGTCCCCGCTGCCCAATCCGCAAGGAATGGTGGGGTCCGTATCGAACAAGCGCCCGCGCGCCAGCAAGCAAGATGGTCGTGGGATGCAGGCCATTCGAGCACACTCGGCGGCTTGCTCTCAGGTGGCTGTGAACCTCATGCTGCAGCTTCTTGCCTTCTTGGAATCTGAATCCAGCTTTTTCTCCGCCATCCATTCAGCAGTGCATTTCGATGCACACGTGCGCCGTGTACTTGCAGGTCTTGCCGCAACGACTGTCATCAGGTACATCACTACCTTCAACTCCTTTGCTAAGGCTTGTGAGGACTTGGATGTGTGTCTTCTTCAGATTACTGCTGTGCAAGCGGCCGACATCTTGGTGACTTTGCAGCTTCAAAGGCAGGAAGATCCGACTGTCGGATCATCGGCAATCACTTGCATCAAAGCCGTGCGGTGGGTTTGCAAGAACACCCAGTGCATTGTGTTTGAGGTCTTTTATGGCGAGCTGATTTCATCCTTCTTGAAGACCAAACTGCCGAAGGACCGCAGGGAGAGCTTGCCCCTGCCGCTATATGCTCTTGTGCAGTGGGAACGGCGCATCCTCCAGCGCTCCACCCCATTGGTGGACGTCGTGCTGCTCGGTGCCTACCTCGTCACATGTTGGTCGAGTCTTCGATTTGCAGACAGCCAGCGCATTGAATGGAGCTCATTTGCCTTTGACGTGGTTTCGCTTCGGGCCATTGCATACCAGACGAAAACCTCGCATCAGGGCCAACCCTTCGGCCTAATCACTCAAGGCTTTTTGCATCATGGCACATATTCCTGGGTGGCTAAGTGGCTCCGGGTCCTTGATTCCATCGCCTCGCAGGAGATGCGCGACTTTGGGGTTGCTCCTAGTTTTCTGTTTCCGACACTTGGCGATGATGCCGAGTTGCTTCGGCCCCTTGAGCCGATGAGTTACCCTTCATGCTTGCGTTGGTTACGCTATTTCCTGCAGTTTCCTTGGATGGGGTCTCCTCCCTCGGTGCCCGTGTCCAACTATACTATACGGTGCACTCCATGAAGTGCAGCCTCTTAAGTTATATGCTTGAGGTGCCGGACATCCGCGGCCCCGACAGGGACGCTCAAGGACATCATAGGGGGAGTAGCAGGGAACTTTACAGCAGAGACGATGTGCTAGGGGCGCTCCGCGCTCAGACACAATTGAGGTCTGCAGTCTTGGCGGGCTTTCGCCCGAGGACGCCATTGCACCGTGGAGCACAGCTCCCCATGGCACCGATTCCCTTCACTTTGGAAGCCTTCAGCAAAGAGATTGATCCTGCGCCCTGGGGTTTCTTCTCCTTCGATGTTAGTGTTTATGGCTCGCTGTTGTGGGTTCCCGGACAATCTTCTGCATGCACTGAGGACGCTCCCGCTTTGGAGGAGCACACCGAGGCTGCCGGCCCCTCTTTGAACGACTCTGCATCGGAGGCTGGGTCTGAGTCCAGTCTTGAGTTCGGGGCGGGGCCCGAATCACTCGGCCCCCCAGATGAAGTGCACATGGTCGCCGCAACAGGCGTTGTACATGCAGCATGCCCGTCAGGGGAAAGGACACTTTGTGGCATCGGTATGTCGGGCCCACGTTGGCAGTCGGTCCACTCGCTTAATGCCAACATGTTCTCTGCAGGCGAACCGCCTGTGTCAACGCATTCGCAGCTCTGGAAGCCTAGTAAAAATGCATCTTGAAGCTTTTGTCTTTGGTCGGTCTGCGCTCGCATTTCAGCTTGCACATGTTTCTTCTTGCATGCCACATTCTTTGAATTGAGCCTGCCAGGACACTGGTCTCCTCTCGCATCCGTCGCTTCAGGCCAGGACTGTTAGTTTTGCTAGCCTCTGCTCTCGCACCATGGTGGATGCAATGTTCGATGATAAATCCGTGGATGGATCATTAATCTGGTGAATCCTTCACCCTACCAGCTTAAAGCAGAGGGAGCCTGAGCCTCAGGCTTCCATCAGCTCCTTCAGGATCACGGCATCAGCCAGGAGCTCACGGATCGGCTGCTCGCCGACGGTTGGGATGCGAAAACTTTTCGCCATGTTGTCTGCCAGGAATCTGAGCTTGCGGGGGTCTTCCCTGAGATGTTCCCGGACACTGAAGTGTCCTTGATGCAGCGTGCCAAGCTGCGAGCCGTGTGGTCGTCGCTGCAGCGACGGAGCAATGCAGAGACTGCCTCTGCAGAACCGTTGGGTTCCCCGGCCAAACAAGGCTCGGGCTGGTCGGAAGCCTTCGCCCCTAAGCTTGATGCCTCACGTGTTGCCACGCTTAAAAAACGATTCTTGGAAGCCTTCCCTTCCGAAATCTTGACTGCCATGAACACCCCATCGCTTCGCCTCCTGAGCACTGCTGTGGACGCTGAGTGAGGTTAAGCGGAACTGGTCCTGGATCCCGTGGAAGAGTCGCATGACACAAAAAATGTATGAGGATTCCCTCATGCAGAAGCCTGCCAAAAGGGCCAGGATTGAGACCCTTCAGCTTTCGGACCTCTTACTTGACGAACCGCCGCAGATCGACATCAATGACTCCACAATGGGGATTTCGATGATCCGTAGGCTGTTGGAGGTGCATGACAATGCCCTCGCTCTTGCAGGTACCGCGCATCTCGTGCGCCTTAAGGCGTACACTTCTAAGTTCTTGAGCCTGGTTTCGCAGAAATTCCCGCCTGAAACCAACCTTCGGCTTCCCTCCGTGCTGGAAGCTCAGCAGGCGGACAAGCATCTTTGGTCGTGCATCTTTCAGTTGGTGATCGAGAAAGAGTGGCAAGTGAACGACGCTATCTACGAGTTTACAGAGATCCGCGGTGACATGTCATCATGGCTGCAGCCTCGCGCCAAGGCGGCTTCCGCCAACAATCGCAGGCCGTACACGCCAGGTGGCCGCGACAACCACCGCCCACCCACCCCGCCGCCAGGTCGTGGCATTGGCAAAGGTAAGGGGAAGGCCAAGGGCTCCACCAAGCAAGGCACCCAGCCTAAGGGCGTTCAGTGGGTTCGTGAGTTCAAGGAGGGCAGCCAGGTGAAAAGATTGTGCATGGGGTGGCAGATCGGGAAATGCCAGCGTGGAAATTCCTGTGAGTTCACGCATGGCTGCGCTTTCCCCAAGCCCGATGGCTCACCCTGCCTCAGCAAGGATCATGGTGCACCACAGCATCCAGAGAAGTGACAACAGGCGCTCGACTCGCCACCAGGGGGTGATCCCGAATCAATCCACAGCTGGGGTGAGCTGCCTGCTCCCCCGCCGCTGCCGCCTTCTGTCCCGCCATCGCAACAGCAAGCTCCCCAGAGCTCGCAAGTTTTGGATTGCAGCTTTCCGCCACTGCCGCCACAGCTTTTTTCTGCCGATAGTGCAGTTTCCGTGTCACCGCCTCAGGAGGCCGTTCCCTCCGTGCATCATTTTGCTTCAGTTCCCTCGGAGGACGTTCCTCCTTCCTCATGCACTTCAAGCACTTCAATTTCGTTGGTGCCGCCCATCAGCGACACTGCTTTTTTGGGCTGCGCAATTGAATTTTCTGATTTATGTGGGCCTGCCTTGGAAGGCTTGTTCGATTGCATTTTGTGCTCACTGCGGGAGGCCCCTTGGCCCCAACAGGTTCGCCGTGCCCACATCATCTCCGGAGCCTCTGCTGACTCAGGTTATTTTAATTTCGGGGTTCAGCTTTCTAGGCGTTCTTCGCTCACTCAGGTTACTTCCGCCCTGCCCGAACTTTGCAGGGACCTGAATGCCCTCTGCAGGTACCTCTTTCCAACGGAGCACTGGAACACTTTGTGTGTTTCGCGCAACGGCCTCAGTGCGCTGCATTCCGACTCAGCCAACATTCCGGGCTCACGCAACTTGTCACTTTCACTGGGCGCCTTCTCAGGCGGCCATCTGTGGATTGAAGACCTCTCCTGCCTCTCACGAGGCCAGCCGACATCAATCGCATCCGGCTCGGGCTGGCTGCATGGCTGTGCCATCGACACGCATCGCAAAGCCATCAGCTTCGATGGCCGCACTAGACACTAGACACATGACACTTCCGTTCTCAGGTGAGCGTTGGGCCCTCACGGCCTTTTCACTGCAGGGAGTCTGTTTCAGTGATCTTGAGTTCTTGGGTTTTCCCTGGCCGCCCCCACGTGAGACTGATGCCCCACCTTCTCCCCTCTTGGGTTCTAGTCTCGCCCTAGATGCATCAGCCTCGCCCGCCGGGCTCGAGGATGCAACTACTGCTTCGCCAGGCTCGCCTGCATTACTGCCCCAGCATCCGGAGACTGGGGTCAACTCAAATCCCCAGCAGCAAATCAGCACATCGTGCAGTAACCCTGACAGTCACGTCACGCCAGCACCCTTTAAGCTGCCGCTTGGATGCAAATTCTGGGGGCAACGCTCTGCGTCGGGCACCTTTCGCTCCCATAAGCTGCAGGTCCCTCGCCCCCTCTCACCGACGGATGACTCCTGGCGAGCTGACCGTTGCAGATCATCTCTCTCGCGCCTGTTCCTTGAGGTCACCTGGCTCGGTGATGCGAGCATTCAGCTCAGCAGAGCTGTGCGCACTTCAGGCGGCGATTCCCTCACCCTAGACCCCTGCCTTGATCCCGCCCTTGACATCCTTTGCCCAGATCTCTTTGAACAGGTCCTTTTCTTATGTGGGTCGGGAGCGGTTGCCTACCTCGCGGCATCGCCCCTGAATGCGTCAGAAAGCAGGCCCTTCCTCATGGCTGCTGTCTGCCATGCACGAGCAAACAATGGCGGCAAAGGTTTCCCGCTGCACCTGGCTTCTCAGCATTGTGCACACTGCCGGGGGTTCTGCCGTTTTTGGGTCCTCCTCGCGCCCACAAGACTGGTTGCATCAGGGCAGCAGTGCTCTCATTTTGGTGCCTTCTTTGCTGCATGCAGGTTCGGCCACTCCGACCCAACCCCAGCTTTGGGCCGCTTCCTACCGCCCTCTGTCTATCCTGGCAGCCGACTTGTGCGCAACCGCGCTCCCACAAAACGGTCAGGCATACGCATCTTCGTTTGCCAGTATCGCTGCCGCTCTGCTACATGGGGAAGGCCGCGAGCTCTCCTTGCAGTCAGCCGAGGCTGCCGTTCCACGCAAAAGCCTCTTTACTGGCCCGCACGCCCTCCACGATGGGGCGGGAAAATGCTCCATGGCTGATTGGAGCAGCCCGGCATTTGCGGATAAACTTCATGGCTTACGGAAGGCAATGCTGCAATTCTGCATCTCCCTTCGTGCCGATAAGCGCTTGCTTGCCAGAAGCTCATGCCCATCGCCGGAGCCGCTCTTCAGCTCCACCGAAGTGTCCGCAGCTAGGGATCTGGTGTTTCCTTCCTTAGGTCTGCAGACCCCTGACAACGCCTGGTATGTGCATCCATATATCAGCCCATGTGCCTGCATGCATTTGAAGCCCTGGCACAGCACTGCGGTGATCCGGACATTCATTTGTTCCCGCACTTGAGGATGGGTGTACCGACGGGACACATGAACGATATCCCTCCTTCAAATTGCTTCTGGCCTTCGAAAGGCCAATCCGGGGAGCTGATTCCGCTTACGCTCAATCTTGAGAACTGGAAGTCGGCTGATGTGGCTCCGCGTGTCACATCGCGCCTGCTCCAGGAGGAGTTGGACGCTGGCTACTGCTTTAAGTTTGAGGGTGCACTTGAGGAAGCGAAAAGTAGATGGCCCGTGGGCCTTGCACTTGGCAAACTTGGTGTGGTCAGGGCGCCTGGGCGAGCCGAACGGCTCGTTTTGGACAACAGTGTAGCTGGGACAAACTCTCATGCAGTGTTCAGTGCCGGAGCGTCAATGTTTCCCGAGCATACAGGATGTCTCGCAATCTTTCCCTCTTCGCGAGACTTCAGACCGCCAGATGGCCATTTGCATAGATGTCAAGCAAGCGCACAAGCGCTGCCGCATCCGCGACTCCGAACAGGGCTTACTCGGATTCACTTGGCGCGACGAGCTCTATTTCTTCCGCTGCTGCCCTTTCGGGGCAGTTTTCTCACAGCACTGGTGGGGCCGTGTGGGGGGGTGCACACTGCGCCTGCTGCACATCCTGCTGTTCCTCGCCCATGTGGGCCTCCTCTTCGTGGATGACTTCATTTTCAGCCAAGCGGCCAGCCTCATGCCGCTTTCGGGTGCTGTCATCTGCCTTTTCCTTCAGGTATTGGGCATTCCAGTCAGTTGGAAAAAATTGCAAATTTCTTGTCGGGTCGATTGGATAGGCTGGCGGTTATGCTTCTCTTCGGGTACGGTTAGTCTCAGGGATGAAAAACGCCTGCGCCTCCTTGATCAGGTGCGTTCCCTTCTTCGTCGTGGTGGCCGCATTTCCACCAAGGAACTTGAGTCTTTTCTGGGCCTAGCCATGTGGGCTTGCGCACTCTTCCCCACTATGCGTGCCATGCTGCACCCTTTCTACAAGGACTTGTGGTCTCCGGCTGCCACTAACTTCAGCATTGCTCCGGAGTCGTGGCACGGCATTCGCAATTTTCGGGATGCTTCACTCAGGTTTAAAGTCTCCCCGCCTCACACCGCCACCCCCGCAGGCGCCAAGCTTCTCTCGGCGCGTCATGTGCCTTTCGCAACCCTTGCAGACCTGTCCAAGGTCGCCGTGACGCATAAAAGATTGTGGCTCCGCGTTGAATGCCTCAGCAGTTCGAGGCGGAAACTCTCGAATGCCTCCATTCGTTCGTTGCATGCCTTCGAGCGTTGGTTGCAACACGTTGCACCACTTGCCAGTATGCGCCCATTACAGGTCGCAGACGTTGAAGCCTTCGCCGATGCATCGGCGTCCGGCCCATCTTGCAGTTTGGGGGGGTTTCGTTTTCTGTCCGGTTCTAGGCCAGGTTTGGTTCACGGAAACCTTCTCGGTTACAGACTTTGAGGCGGCAGGCATTCCCTTCGGCAATGACTTGGCTAAGGAGATCGCCAGTTGTGAAGCCCTGGCTCAATTCTCTCTCTAAGCTGGCTCCTTGCAGCAGGGTTCCTTTACGCCTTCCGTCCCTCTGCGATAACTCCGGGGCGGAGGCGGGTCTGAACAAGATGTTTTCCACAAAGCACCCCCTCCGCCTCGTTCTTGCACATATATCGCCCTCCTTGCAGCCATGCATCGCATCTCTATCGATGTGTCTCATGTTCCAGGTGCCAAGAACTGCAAAGCTGATGCACTCAGCCGGCCGAATGAGTACCCTA